AGGAGTGGCTTGTGGGTTTGAACTGCCAGCCCTCTGGTTAACAGTCAAATGCCTTAGGCACTAGGCCACCAGAGCTCCCAAATTAACGTATAAGGATGCATAAACTATGAGATGGCATATGTTGCAGATGGCACAAAACAAGAATAAAAGGCAAAGATTTTAAATGGAGCTTGGGAAGAGGTTACAAATTATACCTTAATGAACTTCACGTGTCCTCCAGGATGCCACAGAATACTGCTTCTCAGTCATGCCTTTCTAGAGCTAAAAAGATCTATCACCTTTCTTAAACTCTTTTAATACTCAGGTTTCCATATTTTAGTTCTTTTCTCATTCTCTAGGGAGCAGCCTTCCAGTGTAGAGCCTATTGCCCTCTGACTACTGTGCTGTCTTCAATCCAGTTCTATCAATGTCCCCCCTATGTTTAATGACAGGAAAAAAAAAAAAAAGAAAAACCAAACTCACTGCTGTTGGCTGACAGAAGGGGAGAGAAATACTGTAAATAACTTCCGCCTTTCTCAACATTCGAAATAGCTCAATTATAGCTTTATAAGAGATGTTTACTAGCTTTAGAAAGTCAGCAGTTTGAGCTGTATAATGCACAGGAAGGCAGTGACCTTCAGTTAAGTACCATTGGTGAAATGATTAGATTAGGATGGGTGCAGCTGGTCCCTTCAGGCCTTTTTTTTTTTTTTTTTTTTTTTTTTGAGTATTTCAAGCTGTTGCTTGCTTTAAAAATTAAAGAGGAGTCAGACTTGGATCTCTGAAACTCTTTTTTTTTTTCCTAGTTTATTAAGTGAGGCCTTCAAGTATATTTCTTAAATGTTTACTTCTACCTAAGGTTTTCCAGTGTATCCCAGTGTGGAATCTTATCTGAAATTCCCCACTAGAACTTGTAAGACAAAGCAATACTTGTGGTACTTACATCATACAGAAAAGTGGCAGAGAACTGCAGTGTTTGGAAGACAGCTCAAGCACTGAAAGCAGCCATATCCAAATAAGGTACCAAGCACTGGACTTAGATTTAGACCAAATGATATCTTACAGATCTGCCGTCAAATGCAGCCCTCGGGTTTGGTCATCCTCAGGTTGACTTCAGCTTTTTCTCTGAGGCTACTTTTTTGGACTGTGTTTTATATTTGTAAAAGATTAGTACAAAATATTAAAACTACTGGATTTGAAAGTAACAAACAAGTAATGGGTAGGAGAAAGTAAAAGAGGATTTATCTGTGTGTGAATTTGTAAGGAGAGAGGTATAAAAATGCAGTATGAGTCCGGCATGATGAAATGTAATGAATTATTCCTATGAAGTACCAGGTGAGCAGAATTCTCTCTTTGCTTCAAGGATTATCAAGAATGAACTACTAGGAAAGCAACCAAGGAGATAGAAAGCAAGTGGTGTAGGGTGTGACTAAGAATGGGAAGGAAGGTTATAGAGG